AAATTCACACCATAGATTATTATCCCTTTGACTAGGATCCGATCAAATTAGTTTAAAAAATTGTGCCTCCTTAATGTTTCTCATAGCCGAAACTAGCTATGCCAAGCTAATATTGAAGTTGTAGTCGAATAACTAGGGGTATGCTGAATCCTAGGACCCCGATGGTTCCTTCTCTTGTAAAGCTCTGTTATTCCGACCATGATCCGTCCTTCTATCAGAAATAAACCTGTCCAATGACTAAAATCCTTTACTTCCACGCCCATCAACTCTTTCGTAAGGCTGAAAATGGCTCTTGGAAGATCTCCGGCCTGCATTAAAATCAGTTTTGAATATTTTCTGATTTCGATCGCGATAAGGACCCTTAAATGATACCGAAGAGATTAGTTGATCATCTTCAATTCTAATTTTTGATTCATACCGATTGTGGATATTTGCCTATGTGGTTGACTAAAATTCCAATAAGCTTTCCTTCAATTTCTTGGAGGCATATGAACTCAATGGATTGAGACCTTTGGTGAACGCTTCAGCTGCCCACTTATTCGGTACTGCCGACAAGAACATCCTTTCCTTTTAAAATCGGATTACGAACTCTCGTATAGTTTAGGCTCTCCTTGAGCGATTCTAAATATGTCTTCTTTCCTAGTTGGGAATTTTCTTGTCCCACATGAGCTTTAATAAAAGAATCTGCAAGCATTTCAAAGAGTCAATCGAATGCTCAGGTAAAAGAGAATACCATGTTAAAGCACCCTTCGTTAGGGTTTCGTCAAATTTCTACAATAAGACAAATCCGATCTCGTGCAGGGCCAAGTTATTTCCCTTTACAACAGTAATGGAAGTTGTGATATGCTCTTATGAATCTCAAGTCCCATCGTACTTCAGAATATCGGGCATCTTGAATCTTTTCGGAATCCTTTATCATTTTGGTCCATTCGTTCATTCATTTCCCTCATGAATCTCACGAGCTCGGTTTTGAAAGGGTCATTAGTGTTGTTGTCATTCCCGGATCCGCTACCTGCACCACCTGCTTCATTTTTATTAAAACCAAACTCTTCCCTTAAAGCGATGTTACCGGTTCTTTGAACTGTTTGATTTGTAGGCACGTTGGGAGGAACCCATAGTCCTCCATTGGAGTTACTGGAAGCAAGAGAAAAAGCCTGTTTTAACTCCGTCATTACCCGATCTTGTCTTGAGAGATGATTCATAAATTTTCTTTATTTGCTCCCTCAAAATTTTGACCCTTTCAACAACATGTTTATCGTCCATATATCAGGAGTTGGACTTCTCACATGCTGAGGATTTCGTTCTTCGTGACCCGAGTTTTTTCATCTCCCTTATTGCGAGTTTCACTAGTTGAATCATTACGCCGGAATACATCCCCACACTCGTTGTTTATTCCAACATTGCAAGAGTTTTTTACATCGTTGGCTACCATATCTAATTTTTCTTTTACTGATGCAAAGTATTACACTCACATTAGTAACATATGAATGGATCAAAGTAATAACACAATTGTGTATGCCCCACGGTGGGCGCTAAATTATTTATTCGTAAAATAGTGCAGTTGAATTTGTAACGTGGTTTATAGACATGTGATTGATTTTATCCAAGAATATAAAATAATCAAGAACAATAATAAGTTAATGAAAATAAATTAAAAGGAAACACAAGCCTGATTGTAGGCTGAACATCTCCGAGAGCAATAACAAGAATAATATGAAGAACAACGTTTAGAATAAGATATTGTTTTTCCTTTTTTGTGAACAGAATATTTCATGTCTAATAATGAAAACAAATTCTCCTATTTATAGCTCTATTCAGGACACAAGATCCTCAAATCAGGTTCTTCTTTAATATGAATAAAATCCCTCTTGATGGTTGCATAATTGTTGAACATTAATATAAAGATTCTTTGCAATGCATGCTCATTGAATGCTGTATTTTCCAACCGATGTCTTTCTTTCAAATTTTCGTTCTTGGTTCTGATAGATCTTAAATATTCTTACCTTATATTTTAATGATCTAACAAACTTTCTGACAAGAACCAGTTAGGGAACCTGATCTACCTTGGATTGCTGCAAACTCCAACGGACTCCAGTAAAAGATGAATTGCTACCCTTATAGGAGCTAGGAACCAAACAAGGACCTGATGCTCCTGTGATTCCTATATAGCATCACAAGTCATTTGGTCACAGCTGGAACTGAAGTGACTGGCGGCACTATTTCTGCCGCACTGCACCACACTGTCAGCCCACTCATTCTCTAACCAAACAAAGTGCTCACATCATTTCAACTAATGTGACCAAGATGTACCAAAGGGGTTTTTATACAAAACATCACTGAATGGTTTCAGTTTCATTCATTCAAGCCTTCAGCAAAAACAGAAAAGATCATTCTCTCAAGCTTGAAGAATAAGGTTGAACGCCACTACGGACCAGTTCCAAAACGATCGATTATTGTTGTCCTAGTTGAGTTGTAACCTTGTTATTGCACTTACAATATCTCCTATTTACTTAGAAGTTTACTGATATCTCTTGTAAATCCTCAGACTCGTTGAGTTTAGGTTGTGGCTAGATTTAGTCATAAAGAAAAGTCTTTGTAATCGTAGTATTGCAAAGTGACTTGTGGTGATAGCACCACAAGTTAGAAAAAGCCTTTGTAACTAGGATAGTCACAAAGTGGCTTGTGGTAAAGGTGCCACAAGTTAGTTTGAAGTCTTTACAATCAGAAGCATTGTAAAGTGGCTTGTAATAGGTAAGATTACAAGTTAGTGAAGTTAAAAGCCTACATGGTGGGTCGTGGTTTTTTGATCCCCCTGTGCGGGATTTTTCCACGTAAAAAAATCCTCTGCCTCATTTACTTACTGCCTTACTAAGTGCTCTCAGTAGAAACTTGTAGAGGACCAGGTACTCTACGATTTGGTGGACCCATACAAGCTAACAGGTTCCAATGTCTTTGGAACATATTCAACACCGGTCACATGTTTGTATTCGGTGCCAACTATCTGTTGACTCATACCTTGCCTATCCTTACTTTCACATGTCAACTCGTCGAGTATCCATCTGTCATTTATCAATTTTACCCCATATAATAGAATAACTCATCTAATAGTGATCAAGCTATTGTTTGACGAATTTAAGTTGAGTTGTTTTTCAAATATAATTCCATCACAATTCAGGATATTAACAATAAAGAAAATACTCATTTATGCCTTAAGGAACCGAGCCTCGCCAACTTGATAGTCTTGAGTATCCTCAAGGGCTAGCTTAAACTACTCAAATGATTGTTCAAGCTCCTCATACAAGTCATCGAATTCTATAAAAATTCATTAGCCTTTGGTATTGAATGCTCAAAAGTGTCAAATGCTTGACATAAGTGATGATTGTACTTTATATATTCGGGAATGATTCTTCTGAGCTTCGTGTGTTGACTTGTGAGCACACAGTGATTCACTTGCGCATACAGATGCACGTGACATAAGCCAAGGGATTAGGAGTTGCCTTAATCGAGCAACACAATGCCGCATTTGCCATGGGTAGGCACACTGCAAGTTTTAAAATTTGAGAATTGGATTGTACTCCCATGAGTGATGCTCAGTGCCAGGTGAGAGACAAGCATGGAGACGACCTCGAGTGTGGACCTACACGAGACACAACATATGATATGCGCATCAAAAGTGAGATATCTAATTAAGTTTTAAGCTTTAACATATAAGAGATGGTACAACTGAAAGCCAAGCCTCTGTATCACTGGGAAAAGACCTAAACGAGATAAGCTTTGCCACAGACATAGGTCATACCAAGAGACTTGGGATAAGAGAAGACTTATTTTTTATTGAGCAAGACCGAGAGAAGTTGACTTGTGACATTCATTACTCATGTTACAAAGAGTATAGTGTAAAATTAGTAATTCTATAATGACATAAATACATTCTTTTATTTCTCATTTTATGTGTATTTGTCATCAATTTCTATACTACTTTTAGTTAAAAGATAATTTATTGAATAAATTCTATAGTAAAATTTATATTCTTACTAAATGAATTTAGGCAAAATACCTTAAAACCCACCTAAATTTGGCACGGTTTATTAGTTACAGCCTTAAACTATTCGTGGTCTTACTTACTCTCCTCAACTTGGCCTTTTGAGAGCCATTACCCCCTGGACGATGATATGGCAAAGAGTGTGCGTGCAGTCGCATGCCACGTGGATTTTTCTGTATATGTGGCAGTTTTTGAAAAATAAAATATATTTTTATCAATTTAAGTATGTTACTTCTTTTTAGATAATTTTTTTCGAATACCATTTATATTAAAACTTGGATAGAACTACATTATTTAGGCTAAATTTTTTTATTTGGCTAAAAATGATAAAGTTTTAGTTAAAATCTGTAAAAAAAAATATTTTTAGAGAACCGTAATTTAGAGCTACATAAAAAATTATAGCCAAAATAATTAATTTTAAACTACGTATCTTTTGTAACTTTTTAGATGCCTTGACTATTTATTTTAATTGTATAAATCTTTATTTTCAGATCAAATTCAAAAAAAAGATTAACTAAAACTTTATTATTTTTAGCCAAATAAAATAATTTAGCCTAAATAATGTAGTTCTATCCAAATTTTATTATAAATTGTATTCGAAAAAAAATTATTTGAAAAAGTAACATTCTTAAAAATGTAAAAATATATTTTATTTTTAAAAAAAAATGTCACATATACAGAAAAATCTACGTGGTAGGCGAGTGCACCAACACTTTTTGCAACATCAACGCCGAGGGGGTAATGGTTCTCGAAAGGCCAAACTGAGGAGGCTAATTAAGATCACAAATAGTTTAAGGCTGTAACTAATAATACATGGTTTTTTAAAGGTATTTACATCCATAATTCAAGTGTATCCTATAAGAATAGAAAAAACCTTGTATTAGTAAAAAAGTTAAAAACATGCATCTAAAATAATTCCAAAAATGTTATTTACTAACAAATTAAATTACACACACACGAGTCTTCCAAACAGCAACTTTTCCCCATTCCCGTGCAAAATCCCTTCCCCTGTTTCTGTATATCGTTTCGCGAACTTTCAATTTCTCTTTCTCGCCAACCTCTCACCGCCGATCACCGCCGTATATCTCCACTACCCGCCCTATCGGTCTCACAAGGTTCGACGTTAACTCTTGCTTCAATCTCCCAAAAAAAAAAAAAAGAAAAACCTTTTTCGATTCTTCTTTGCCACCGGCAATTTCTGTAATTTCGGGGGATTCAAGTCATATTTTTTCAGAAATTCAAAATTCAAAATGTAACTGGAATGTTTTATGTAGGTATTTGAATTCAGCTTTCTTCAATTTCTCCAATGAAAATGGTTTTTTCCTTCCTATGTTTTAAAAATTAGGGCTTTATATGCTCTCATTGAATTCGGTAGGAAAGCTATGTTTTTTGGTATGTTTCTTAGTTTATGTATAAAGTTTTGTTATTTTTTTTTCATTTTATATTTGGTTAACATAGTTGTGATTAGTTGAGCTTCTTTTTTCCCATTTCCCATTTTCTATTTTGGTTAAAATAGTTGGTGTCTGCTATATGAATCTTTGTATATCAATTTTGCTCTATTAAAGCCATGATCAGAGTATTGATCATAGACTATTATATCGGGTACCTGCGACCTCCTAGTAACATAGGTACTAGGTAACTCTGCTTAGGTAGATGAGAAGAAATCACATAGTGTTCTTTCCCTTTATTGCTGTTAACTTACTACAATGTTCCTTGTTTACCTGGGTTTGGGAACTGCTGTACATTGCGAAGCTCTCATAGGTTGAGTCGGTGAAATTAGTTGAGCAGTTGATTTCAGCCTGAGTCTTGAGCTGATATTGGGGCTTGATCATGCACCAATTTTTTTGGCTTTATTGAAGTTGAGCTTTAGAGAGCATTCCCTCAGAGTCTCTTGCTTGATTGTACACATGGCTGATATAAGTGATTATACCATTTTACGTCTTGGATATGGTGAACGTAAATGTTGATCAAATATGGTTAATGTAATGCTGTTTAAACATGATATCAGTGCCTTAGACTGTGATTTTAACAGCAAACTAACATACTCTGTTTTTTTGTAAGAGAAATTTCAGTAACAAAACACAAAGTTGGTTTCGAAAATTATGTATATTTGTGTCTAAGACTCACTCTTGTCCTACACATTCATCAGAATTTACTTTTGGTAATTTGGCTTGTGTATCACTTTTTCTTGATTGTCATATGACTTGTGTATCTCCTTTGCCTCGAAATTGTCAACTTGAGCAGTCACTGTTTTTTATTCGGAGTCAAGTATTGTATTAGTTAGTAGTCTTTCATTTTTTTTTTCTGTTGTTGCTTATTTTATACAATGTTGTTGTTCTTTTGAATTTGAATCATGTGTAGAGTCTGTTGTTTAGCGAGGAAGTTAGTTGGAGTCCCCATCACTGGGAATGTATTGCTGTTCCTGTGCTTGTCCTGTTGTTCATATACATGAGAATCTTTAGTTGACTTTTTCTCTTTTTCTTTTTCAATGACATCATGTTGAGCTACTGTTTTTGCTATTTCCCTCTTTCAAATTGCAATTTCTCTTGTATGCTTTTAGATTACGTGATAAATTAGACACCCAACCTTTTATTTATCTTTGGTTATTATTTCAACTGCAGGTTTCACGATATTCACAAAATTGATTAAGCAGCTAATGAAGTATGGGATTCTCACCCATTTGACGGGGTGCTGATAGTCCACTTTATGAAGTATACCTTATTTAGAAGGATACAAGAAAGAGATGAATTTCCAGCGTATGTCGGGGCAGATTTCAGGGCAGGTTCCAAATCAAAGTGGCACTTCTTTGCCTGGGCTAGCCCAGCAGAATGGAAATCCTTTTCCTATGCAGATGCAAAATCCAGGCGTCCATCATACTATGCCCAACTTGGAGTCTGAGTTCTTGAAAGCTCGCAAATATATTTCACGGAAGATGTAAGATATTATATTTCTTGTTTTTTTTATTTGATTTAAAAATTAACAAAGGAAGATATTATATTTCTTTTTAAAATAAGAAGGAAGATACTTTATACATCTAAGCATCCATTAATATTTTCCTAAGGCAATTTCTTTCTTTCTTAGTCCTTATAGAGAAGGATGTGGAGTTGGATTGTGTAGACAGACTGAGGTGAACCGTTGCTAATGACCAACTTATTAACATTAGTTAAACACATTTTCTTTCATAACTAAGTTTTTTTCAATGCTGAAAGAATTTTCTTGCTGCAGCACTTTGGTGGTCATATTTGATAACTAGAGGTTGGATACGCATATTTTGTTCTTCTAGTTATTCCAGTACAAACTTATTTGAAAAGATTTTTAAGGAGGCAAAACTTATTTGTTCTGGTCATCTGGTCAGACTCTTCTATTTGTTCATCTGCTGGGCTCCTTGCCATTCTTTTGCTCCTAAAGCACTGACTCTCTCGAAAGTTGTTTTAACAAGCTATTGTTCTGTTTTAGTGATGAAATTTTATAGAAGTATTACTGGTTAGGATTCTAGAAAGGACCTCAACTTCGAAATGCTAGAGTATCCAGTTGACATTTAAAGACAACAATAGAAGATGATGAGAGAGAGTATTTGAGGTGTTGTTTAGCTTCTACAAAAACTTGTGGAGGGGTTTGTTATCTGCCCTTCGGTACGAACTCTGATGCGTTGATTTATGACTTTTGGGAGGTAAACTCTATAAATATTCAGGGAAATGGTGTGGAACATAAAGAGGTGCTTGAGTGCTTTTCAAGAATTCTGTTACATTGTTTAAAATGAGCCTAGTGTCCCATTATTTTAAGATTCTCAGTAATGTACTCTCTTCAAAAGGATGCTCTTGTTTTTGCATTGTTCATGATTCTTCTTCCAAAATTTCCAGTTATTTGCTAAATGTCTTTTGTATGGAATTGATTCCTCTGCATTGCTGCTGAGTTTTCTGATGATAGCTGATGCGAACTTGACAACCTTTTTATTCTCCAGCTATGAGTATTTCATGCGGCGGCAGCAGCAAGCCCAGGAGATGCAACCACAGAGGGTTGTAGATCTAGTTAAACGCCTGGAGGAGAGCTTGCTTAAGACTGCTTCGTCAAAGGTTTATTGTTGTTTCAGTTTTGTTTATTATAATATTGTTATGTTGTACAAGATGGTGCTATCATGAAAGGTCATTCTATTCATTTTGCAAATGAAGCTTCTTCTTTTTTCATATGTTTAGGAGGAGTATCTGGATCTATCTACTCTGGAAAACCGATTACTTGCCCTGTTTAAACGCCTTCCTATGAATAATCATAACCAACAATTTTCCAAGATTAATTTGTCAACCTCCATTGGTACAATGATACCAACTCCAGGCATGCCTCGAAGTGTGAATTCGTCCCTTATTGGGACATCATCTGTCGACAGTTCCGTGACTGGTGGAAGTACTATTCCATCCTCTGCAGTTAACTCTGGAAGCTTCGTGCAGACAACCGATTTGCCCTCTGGCAGTATACATGGTGTTTCATTTATTTATGCTGATAGTAACTTTAAGCATTACTGTTTTCCAAATTTATAAGGTATTTACTTCACTCTGGTGTAACAGAACTCATCCTTGCAGGCCCCTTGGCAAATGGATATCAACAGTCTACATCCAATTTCTCGATCAATTCTAGTGGGAACAACCTGGTACCATCCATGGGTGGAGAAAGAATAACAAGCCAAATGATTCCCACTCCTGGGTTTAGTAATAGTAATAATTCCAATAGTAATACCAGTGTACCGTCTTACATCAATTTGGAATCATCTAATAGTGGTGCTGCCTTTTCTGGCGTTGATTCCACAACTGTGTCACAGCCACTACAACAAAAGCAGCATATTTCTGGTCAAAACAGCCGTATACTGCATACACTTGGCAGCCATATGGGTGGTGGAATCAGGTCAGGATTGCAGAATAGATCCTATGGACAGTCAACTGCACCTCTGAATGGGGGGCTTGGAATGATTGGGAATAATTTGCAGCATTTGAATGGTCCTGGAGCCTCTGAGGGCTATACATCAGCGACCATGTATGGAAACTCTCCAAAGTCGTTATCTCAACATTTTGATCAACATCAACGACCAGTAATGCAAGGTAACTCCTCAGCACAACACATACCTTTAAGCTAATTCCGGCAATATACTACTTTCCTTGTTTTGAGTATTCTGAGCTATTTCATTGTTTTGATAACAGGTGATAGATATGGTATTAGCAACAGTGAAACTTCAGTGTCTGGAAACTTGTATGCTCCTGTGTCTTCTGCAGGGACGGTCATTGGCGATCAGAGCTCGACTGCTGTAGTCCTACAGTCCATGTCCAAAGCAAACTCAACTCTGATGAGCAATCAGTCGAACTTGACTGCCTCTCAGCAGATGCCAAATCTAAAGGTTCAACCTGTCGATCAATCGGAGAAGATGAACTTTCAGTCCCAGCATTATCTGGGAGATGACCATTTATCTTCTCGTCAGCATCAACAATTACATCATCAACATCGATTTGCTCAACATTTAACCCAACAGAAGCTACAAAGTCAGCACCAACAACTTTTGTTAAGGAGCAATGCTTTTGGTCAAGCTCAGCTGCCATCTAATCCTGGTACTCAAGTAAAATCTGAACCTGAAAATCATGATGATGCCCAGCGCTCACAGATCTCTGCCGAGCAATTTCAGTTTTCTGATATGCAAAATCAGTTTCAACAGAATACTGTTGGAGACCAATCTAAAGGTAATCAGTTGTTTCTCCTTTATTTAGTCCGCAGGATATCTGTTCATCACTTTCTCAATCTTCAGTCCAACACAACGACGTTGCATCCAAACCAGCTTATTGCTTCTTCGTTTAAGCTGTCACTCTGATAGAGTTTATTCTGATGCAGCATTGCAGGGTCAATGGTATCCCAAGTCTCATGATGGGTCTCAGATACCAGGTAGCTTCTTTGAACCGAATGCACAAGAGGAATTGTGTCAGAGAACTTCCACACAAGAGGAAGCTCAGCCCAATAATTTATCTACAGAGGGGTCTTTGGCCAGTCAATCTGTTACTAATAGAGCAGTTGAAACCAATAATTCAAGCAGTACGATATGCAGATCTGGTAACGTTCCTCGGGAACGACAGTATCTTAATCAGAAGAGGTGGCTGTTGTTTTTGATTCATGCACGTCGATGTTCTGCTCCTGAAGGAAAATGTCCTGAAAACAATTGCATACATGCACAAAAACTATTGAGGCATATGGAAAGATGCATTAAATTTGATTGCCCATATCCTCGGTGCCCTGAAACAAAGGTTTTAATAAATCACCATAAGCATTGCAAGAATGAAAACTGTCCCGTTTGCATTCCTGTTAAGAAATTTCTACAGGCACATCAAAAAGTGTGTGCTCGTCCTGGCTATATGTCTGATATGGCAAATTCTCTCAATGGTACTTGTAGAACCTATGATGCTGTTGAAACTGCTTCTAAGTTCACTGCCAAGACGAGTCCATTGGCATTTGAAACTCCAGAAGATTTGCAGCCTTCTCTTAAACGCATGAAAATAGAGCCATCTTCTCAACCTCTTGTCTTGGAATCTGAAAATCTTGTGCCAGTTTCGGCCGGTGAGTCTAATGTTTTACAAAATGCTCAGCTTGTTGAACAGAATGATGCTGTGGCAATGAAGACTGCAGACACTGAAGTAAAGAGTGAAACTCTTGCAAATGCTGTGCAAGTTAACCCTGGTAGTACTGGTATAGCAAAGGATAGTTTGGATGATACATACACTCAAAGGCTTGCTGGTGATTCTGTTGCATCAAGTACTCCAGCTTGTCTTGTGAAGCAGGAAAATGTTAATGCTGACAAGGACATAGATCAGCCTAAACAGGATAATACATCAGCGCCTTCTGAAAGTACGAGTGGATCCAAATCTGGGAAGCCTAAAATAAAGGGTGTCTCAATGATGGAACTTTTCACCCCAGTGCAAGTCCGGGAACACATTAAAGGTCTGAGACAATGGATAGGCCAGGTCTGTCAAATATGGTTTTCCTAACTTGGGATTGTTTTGCTCACGCTTTGTTGCCCGACATACTTATTTGCATTTGGAAATTTGCAGTTGATTGCTAAAGAACATGCCATTTAAATATGGGTTGATTTACTTTTTCTTTTCCTTTTCTAGATAAGAACTCGATAACCGGTTAGTTAAAAAAAAACGGATGTTCGGTAACCTGAAGAAGTGGCCAGAGTTGCTTAAAGGATTAAATAGAGGGCATGTTTTGAGAAATTCCTTACTCTTTAGCGGTTCTACACCTTGACCAAGTATGCTAAAGTTATAAGGGCATACTTTGAATTGAGTTTGTATTGCATTGGGCTGAAATGATTTTTCCAATGTCAAGAGCGTGCATTTTCTGTTTTAACTGTTGGTCGGGTCATATATATTTGTTGTCCTGGTCTCAATTGTGTCACCTGGGGTCATTGAAGCTGGAATGAACCATGTTTCAAATACTAGCAGAAGCAGAAACGGTTCCTTTCCATATGTCTAAGGCTTTGGGGACAAAGTTATGTGGTACTTGTGCTGGAGGGAGATAGCAGGTACCCGGTGAATTAGTCTCGAGATGCAATTCAAGAACTTGTTGTACTCTAGCTGAAGTTGAAATCAAGAACAATGGGTAATTTGGGAAGTTATATTATGTATCTTAATTTTCCATCTAGTCAGTGAGTGGCTAATCAAATCTGTTAGACATATCTTGTTGTCAAGGAAGGTTTATCTTTGAGTTGTTGATGATAATGAAGTGCTATGCTATTTACAGGAATTGTACTATTCTAACTTCTTTCATGTACGCCTTCTACCATGTTATGTAGACTTTATAAAACTGTTAATACTCGTCTTTTTCCTATTAGTCTTATGTGTGTGGTTTGACAAGTAGCTGATTTGTTGCCCTCTACGGTCTTTATTCCAGTGACATGTTTGGTTTCATTTCTAATCTGCATGAGTAAACTCCTTCCATGGATGAAATTCTGTTCTATTTGTTTGACAGAGCAAAGCGAAAGCAGAAAAAAATCAAGCAATGGAGCATTCTATGAGTGAAAATTCTTGTCAGTTATGTGCAGTTGAGAAGCTAACTTTTGAACCTCCACCCATATATTGTACTCCATGTGGTGCTCGTCTTAAACGTAATGCGATGTATTATACCATTGGAGCTGGTGATACACGGCACTACTTCTGCATTCCATGCTATAATGAGGCCCGTGGAGACACCATTGTTGTTGATGGAACCACCATTCCAAAAGCGAGGATGGAGAAAAAGAGAAATGATGAGGAAACTGAAGAATGGGTATTTACTCTATGCATTTTATTTGACAAATATAGTATCTCTTTTGCTGTAGAAATGGGGCGTGGAGACTTGTATGGTCCATGCTTTCTGTCAATAACATGTGTTGTTTCTTCTAATTTTAAATTTTTTTTGGTCTTAATTGCCAAAACAATAAATTTTATTGGTCTGATCAAATCAGAGGTCACTGCTTTGTGCAGTGGGTGCAGTGTGACAAGTGTGAAGCTTGGCAACATCAGATTTGTGCTTTATTTAATGGTAGAAGGAATGATGGTGGGCAAGCTGAGTATACCTGTCCCAATTGCTACATAGCAGAGGTTGAAAGAGGTGAGCGCACACCCTTACCACAAAGTGCTGTTCTTGGAGCAAAAGATCTGCCTCGAACAATTCTCAGTGATCATATTGAGCAACGATTAGCTAGCCGGTTGGAGTGGGAAAGGCAAGAAAGAGCAATGCGTGAAGGAAGAGGTTATGATGAGGTAATTTATCAGGCCAATTTCAATGATTAATGCATTGAGACTTGATTTCTCTGATCAGTAAACAACAACAACTACCATTTCGCCTCAGTCCTAAACAAGGTTATATGAATCCTCACTGACAATCTTTGTCTATTTAATTAATCTCAACCCAACATCATGCAAAATAAAAATAAAAAGTATTAGAATTTCTCTATATTTTATAATGGCATAAAATCTGTGATGGGGGCTAAAAGACACTTAGTTTTAGAAAGCATGCCCAAAGATTCAGTAAAATCTTATTACTTTATTAAAATTGAATCTTCGAGAGCATTAGATCTAAAATAAACGCACTAACATGGCTAAAACACATTTCCATCTAGTTGGTATCGCTTGTATTGATCTTTTCTTCCATTGTACTCTATCTTTCGCCAGGTTTGATTGGATTCCAAGAGATGTTAGGTCTTTAGACGACTTTTCTGTGTGGTTTTAGGTCTAGTTCGTCCTCTTATACACCTTCACTCATCACGGTTCACACTTACAAATCAACACATTTGGAGGTCGATGCAGGACATGACCAAATCAATCCTAAGCAACATTGTGTCAGTTCATCCTTTTTAAGTGCTTCTTGCACTTTCTGGCGGATGTGTCATGTTTAGTCTCATCTAATCTTGTATATACATTCATCTTAGTATTTGCATCTGGCATCTCGGGAGCATCTCGGGAACACTGATACTGTGGATGTGTGGACTTTAACACCCTTACATTCACTCCCATATAAATTTCTTGGCGTATAACTGTTTTATAAAACTCACCTTTCACTTTGATAGGCATCCTTATCATATAACACTCTGGTAGCACTTATCCATTTCAATCATTCGATTTTAATTCCATGTGTAACATCCTTGTCTATCCTTCCATTCTCTGGGAACTAAGAGCCTAGATATCTAAATTGTTTGCATTTAATTACCACAACCCCGTCTAATCTCACTTCAGTCTTCTTATGAAGGCTAAACTCGCAGTGCACATATTCAATCTTACTTTTACTTTATCCTAAAACCATTACTCTCTTGAGTGCTTCTCCATAGTTCAAGCTTTTGGTTGACACAGGCGCGGTTATTGTCAAGTAGCAGTATCATCAAACGGCATGCACGGTTATGGGTAACTCCTTTGTATTTGCTACTACTATCATATATTTGACTTGAAATTTCTTTCTCCTCCAACATCCACCGAAGTACCTTTTTTGGGGTAGGGATAAGGTCTGCGTACACACTACCCTCCCCAGACCCCACTAGTGGGATTTTACTGGGTTGTTGTTGTTGTTGTACCTTTTTTGGTACTCTATCACATGCTTTCTAGAGGTCAAAGAACACCATGCTTAGATCTTTCTGCTCCTTGCAGTAAATTTCCATCAATCTTCTACTGTAAATCTAAAGGGAAAAAATCCAGATTGATTCTCCATCACTCTTGTAGTGTCCTAATAGATGAAGATTAGGTGTGTACACTATTCCATTGGAGAAAACAATACCTAACTGTTGAGTTCAGTTTAAATGGCTTGGCTTGTTGGTTTTTCTGCTTTTTCCTGTAATTTCGAAATTATTATTTGATAAACTGGTTTGCTTTTTGATATTTTGTACTGGAAATTGACCGAAGTAAGTGACTCTTAAAAAATAAAAAAAGAATGTATATTTCATAAAAAGGGTCGAATTTGATTAAAAAATAGAAGAGGAATATATATGTGTGTGAGTATATTTGTACACATTTTTGTGTTCCTTCCCCTTAGATCTCCCTCAATAGTAGTCCAGTGCCCACGTTATCAACCCTCGCTATTTAACTTATGTCTGTCTTCACTCTCTCACTCATCTTCCCAGCTCCTTTTACTCTCGCCCGTGCTTGACAACATAGCTAAATGCAGCTTTAAGCACCCTCCTCCAACGGGCTCCTTAGTGATCTCCAGTTATGCTTCTCTCTCTTGTGTTACTACATGTTTCTAGATGTGCTTGGTTTTGAAATTTGTGATGGATCTTTACTTTGCTATTGATATCTTTATAGTAATATCTTTAAGTTTCAAAACCCCATGGCAGTGATCCCACAAAAAAGAGAAGATTAAAATCCCTAGTAGACTATGACTTGCGCAGTGGAAAGGGCTTAAGGCCTTTGCTTTGGAGCTTAACTCCTTTAATTTATCATTTGGTTTCTCTCTCTCTCTCTCTCTCTCTCTCTCTCTCTCTCTCTCTCTCTTCCCTTTTCCTTTTCCTTTTTCCTTTTCCCCTGTTGAGTTACAGAGTTGTCTGAACATGTGCTGTGTAAGGGCTTCCTAAGGGGTTTATAAAGGTTTTGGGCTACTCCATCCATTCCCTAAGATTTTGTAGTGGAAGCACATTCTTTCGCATGGTATTAGGCTGTCTTGGGTAAGCTCATTCTTGCTCTGGTAAGTCGCATTAAAATCCACATGTGAACCCAAAATTGGGTTACATGTTTTTTTAAAATGAAAAAAACAGAACATGTAATGTTTTGAATTTTGGATGCTCAGATTTTCTCTTACTCCCCTTCAAGTTGCTGATCTTTCTTCTGATATGTTTTTTGCTTGCTTGTAATCTTGGCTGTCTTTCCTTTTCAACTTGTTTCATTTGTACTCCTTCATGTGTAGGAGGTCATTTCAGTCAATCAATTACTGGGAGAGAGGTGATATTCAAATCTTAAGAATTTTAGATTAAAAGCAAACGTAGGATTGTGTTGGAAAATCTCAAGAAAGAAGAAAAGTTGAAATGGACAAGAAAAAGAGCTTAAGAAAAAAGAAATTGGCCCATTCAAATTGTCCCAACTTAAGTTGTAACTGAGCGGTAGTCGAATTCGGTTGGCCTCACTTTTTGAAATTATAAACCGAAGTTCAGACACTAAAACGAATAACATTTGAAAACTGATATAACTGAATGAACAGCCACTCTTGAGTCCAAAGTATATACAAGGAGGGCAGTCGGAACCTATAAGAACTAATAGGTCCAGACATCCACAAATCAAGGCTTGCTCTGTTCTGTGGATGCTGCATTTGTTACTTTCAACCGATATTGTTGTTATCGTCCAGAATATTGATTAGATCCAGCCTTCTAGAGGAAAAGACTAGAAATTAAAGTTCTAGGATCCCGATCTACGGTTATAAGCGGTTGGAGATGTTTGGAAGTGAATTTGCATTTGTCTGTAGCTTATGGGTTTTAGCTAATTAGTGAACAGGTCACTGTCATCAGCCTTTTTTCCGTCAATGCTCCTTTCTTCTTGGGAAAAATATCATCTTTAATTTTTGTAACTTCTGTCTCTTCATTTAGTGATTCGTAGTGGTGTTAGCAAGTTCGCTTGTGCCTTCCTATCTTAGCTCCTGCTTATACTGGTTTCCAGGTTCCTGGAGCGGAAGGACTTGTTGTAAGAATTGTGTCATCAGTGGACAAAAAGTTAGAAGTGAAACCACGGTTTCTTGAGATATTTCAGGAAGAGAACTATCCGCTGGAGTTTCCATATAAATCAAAGGTACCTTCATGCAGAGTCATTTAACGTCAAATTTGGGTTTAATGATTTGAATGAATGTCATGTTAGTTTCTTTTTTTTCCATCTCAATAAAGAAAATGTTTTTTATGTTAGAACTAGATCTTTATCAGGCACTATTTTACTGAGAATTAATTGCAGGAGGATCTGAATAACTTTTTTTTTGTAAAGGTAAGGTAATTTATAGATAAAAACAAGCACGAAGGATGTTGCAGGTGTTCACTATTTAAAGAAGCAAAAATAGCAAAGCATGCCCGTTTTAGTCTAATCTCCTAGTCTTTTAGGGCCTCTAACATCTTAAAACTATTTCAACATCATTTACACATTTTGATCTACACCATGAGAAAAACAAAAGTATACATTTAGACTTTATGTTAACGGCAGAATCAGTGAAGTCATCAGAACAGCTACTGTTTCTTTCTGTCCAAATAGTCCACCAAATATATGCAGGTCCCATGTTCCACCACCTATGCTTGTTCTTTCGTCGCCTAAATCTTTTTGAGCATCTTAGCAACTCAGTCGTTGAATAGGCATGACCCAATGCAGACCAGTGCCTAAGAGCATAAGGGATTTGCTAGAATGCTGGCAGGGGCAGGAAATTCAGAAAGACCTGAAACAGGTCTGGATCATTATCCCTCTGGCATCCTTTGGACACTATGGCTGGAGAGGAGTAAAGCTTGTTTTGAAGGACAAAAAGCCATATTTCTAGAATTAAGAATAAGTGTTTGCTTACTTTCTTTCTCGTGTAAGAGGAGACATATTGGAAGTATGGATCAGTATATGGATTTTTTAGAATTGTTATGAGGAAGGAAGTAGTTGCATATTTGTCTTAGTATAGTAACTTCTGGTCTTTCTCGAGTCCTGTACCTTTCTATGCCATGATACCTTCAAATAATACCTTTACCATTTGAAAAGATGGCCAAATGCGGACCAGTAATATTCAGGAAAAGCTGCCACAGTTGGGCAGTAACTTGGCAGTGCAAAAACAAATGAGAATTGCTTTTTGTTTGTTTCCCATGTAGGAGGCATTTACTTCATAGAACCAGCCGGTATACCCGAGCCGCATCCCCGGCACACTTGCTATATCTACTAAGGCTTCATCCTAACCAACTATACCTGATATAAAGCCGTTCTATAAAAATAATATAAGCTTTAGTAGAGCTCCAAAATGTCCTTGATCTCCTCTGTTTCGTAGGGGTAAGGTCTGCGTACACACTACCCTCCCCAAAATGTCTTCTTGAGCCAAGAGTCTTTCGGAAACGGCCTCTCTACTCCCTCGGGATTGCCGCACTGGAGTAATCCAATATGTGGTTCCGCACGTTCCACCACTTCTCCGTTCATTTCCAAAGCCAAGCAGGAGAGTCTGCACCACTCCGAAGTACTAATAACTAAGTTGAAGAGAGAGCGGGGCAGGCCATAGACGAAAGTGAACTATAGACTACTTACCAAAGACCATAGGCAATGGACGAAAGACCAGCAGAAGGGCATTAGTCGCCGAGGAAGCTAGTGCGCTTTTTTTCCAGGCCTGTTCGGACATACGGTTCCCGCGGAAGATCAAGTTGGTGAGCCGTGTGATGGGAAACCTTAATCTCGGACCCGATGGATGCCTACAGAAAAATTTGTTTTCCAGCAGTGATGGCAAGAATCCGCGAAATAATGTTCTTTCTGAATGGAGCTCATGCTGCCTTTAGCGGAAAACGGACTTAATGGACTTCTCCTTTTCCCGTTCCTGACCCTGAGTGTGGAGGGGTTAGCCTTGAGCCAGGTCTTGATTGTTTATTCCATTTTCTTCTCGGTGTGGAACGATACACGAGAAATAGATGCTCAGCCTGCAATGTCCGATAACGGCGCTGAAGTAGTGAATCTATCGGCACCCTTTTTTTAGAGCGTATAAGGGGAAAAGAGCTCTTGCATCGTCAGCCGCTTTTCAGCATTTCCTGCCTGAGTTGTTGACCATCACCTGACCTCACACGGGAGGCCCCGCGCCGAGTGATTCTCCCCCAAAAAACTCTACATGTGATGTTCCGAAAACAGAAACATGTGATTTAGTAAATTAGAACCCATTGTGGGGTGCAACCAGGGAACAACTATCAACTAGTTTGAAAAGTTCTTCCATTACCAGCCATTCTGGAGGAGCAGTTGATTTAGCAATTTCTAGTCTTCATCTATCTGGTGTTTCATCCATTTTAGGTTCTATTAATTTTATAACAACTATCTTCAACATGCGTGGACCTGGAATGACTGTCCATGTGAGGCCGGCGATATGGATGAAATGTATACCCGTCCGTGGTAGGACTAAGGTATTGAGATTACTCGGGAGAAGCATGAGTAAATCCCTTAGACGAAATAGCATTTTCTTATCGTAGGCTGATCATCCAACACCCATTGATTCTACTCCAATTCCAGTATCTGGCTGTTCTTCATCTTACCCGGGAGGAAGTCGAGGACAGAGTTGCCGCTTTAGATGAAAGATTGATGTTTCTATTCGAATACAAGGCCCTACGCCTTATGGCTTGATGAGATTAATATAGTTGAGCTGCAAGCATCCTGAGATTTAACTGCTAGGAAGTTTTAAGCAACATCTCATTTTTCGTTCCTGTCCTAGCTGAAGGAGGGTAAATTTAAGAATCAATTTTTTCTGACTTAGTTGTTGTCGTATTTCTTTTCTTCCCGGTACCGTGAAGAGAGATTAGGCGTGTTTTTCCTTGGTCAACAACCAAGCAACTACATATATCTAAAAAAGTCTCTCTTTTTGTTTGGGGGGAGCAGAGCAGTCAAAGAATGAACCAAACCATCATGTTTAATGAACTTCTACAGGCCGTAGAACCCTTTTTAGAGGTCGTTCAAATCATGTCTAAACTTCTATTGGGACTTCTATTGATTATTAATTCGACTCTAGGGACTCCTAGCAGCAAACTAGTCTAAAAAAAGGGGCCCCCATAGAGAGGCAATCAATCGATCGATCAAGAGGCTAATCTCTTTTGTTTGGGCCGGTAGCTAAAAGAAAAAGGAGTCCATGACCCCTTTTTAGAGCGTATAAGGGGAGGTCGAATTCCAAACCACTCTATTATGATACCTCCCTCTGTCGCAATAGAAATCGAGATCTGATCTATAGTTAGGGGGCAATACATACCAAAAGGTTCGAAGAGCTGCGCGAAAGCCGGTCTTACCTTCTATTATATTAGTAAAGGGCCTTTAGGCTTGACTAATAAGATATATAGGGCTTTTCCCTTTACTCCTATTAAGCTCAGCCTTAGTAGAAGTGGGTAGCGGCCCTGGTTGGTATTGGTGTGTGGGAATGGGAATGGCTTCAAAAAATTCCCTCTATTTTCATCTTTCAAGATTCGGAAAAATAGGTTTGGCGTGGTTTGTTACCTAAAAACACCATCCTTTCTTATTGGCGTTAACCGCGTGGGGCCTTTGGAGAAGCAAGTAATCCATTTCTATCTCTTTCCTCAGGTATTAAGGTTCCTGCCCTTCTTGTGTCACGAGCTTTTTCCATTCTCTTTCTATCTATATAGGATATGCTAAGCCTTTTCTTATTTATCTATCTGGCGTGATAAGATAAGGACCACTAGGGGCCCGGTTTGTCCTTCTTCCCGCAAGAACGAACGGAGGAAGAAAGAGAATTTTCTACTTAAATTGAATTGGAATTTATTGGAATTTTCAACAGATACAAATGGAAAGAAATTGATAAAACGCCTAAGTGATGCTCATCAGTGTCGGGACAGCGCCAAAAAACGAATAGCAGCAACAGCTCTTACTGTAACAGAACTAGGACCGTCAACTCCAATTGTAGCAGCGGGAATGTCTTCACCACCAGATATTGCATTAAGAGCTTCTATTGCCCCCCGACTTACGGCCTTTACGCTACTACTATTGTGATGTGAGCGGTTCAAATTGGTTGAATCTTTCTCAATCATCCTGGCCGGAACTTGTATGCAGCACTTGTACGGATTCTCGAGAAGCCAATTCTCTCCCTCGATCTAGATCTACTTTACCGACAAGAGCTCTTAATGAATGAGCGTCCTATCCCCTGCTTTTCAACCTTTCCGTATCTCTCTTTTGTTTGAATGAGACTATCTGATGTCCTTTCATCTCAAACTGAATTGAATGTAATAAGAGTGAAAAATTAGGAAATTTCGTACGAAAAGGAGGCTATGTAGTATGGCCCCTATCCCTTCTTTTTACGCCAGTTGCTCTGCTCCTTATGGCGAAGGCTTCTGTAACCTTAGACTCGTTACGCTCTTCGACTGAACTCGTTGGCTCCGCGTCCACCAAAAGTCGGTAACCTTCGTCACCGTCAGCATTTGGTACTCTCTCGCCTTCATTGCCCTTTGAAAAAAGTAAAAAAAAAAGAGCGCTAGGGAAGAGAGAAAGTAGCAGACTGAGATAGTACCACAAAGCAGGGGTTAACATAAATGACTCTATGGAAGTCCTCTCCCACTTGAAAGCTAAATAAGGAGAAGAAGTGCCCCAAATCAATGCATTCCATTCTTAGCAGAGGTTCCTTCCATATAATCCCTCGAAGTACTTCGCTCACCTTCGAAGAGTGAAAGGATCATTCAAAGCAGACTAAAGGCATAGGGCAAAGGAGCTATTAAGTATTTTTATTTAAGTTCTTTTCTTTCTAAGAGGAGCCCTCGCCCGGCGCCATTTCCGGACCTAGCAGCAGACGGGCGGGCCGTGCCTGAATTCAGACCGGACCAGACTCTTCTTTGTTTGAGCTGATCCAGCCTTTTCTTCGCTTCGGTAGTGAATCACCTACTAAAGGGGCAGGCCTGCACGCCTTATTTGAGACTACTAAGGCAGGCGGTGGACTCTTTCATTAGGTAAGGGAAGAAGGGGCCTAAGCACGGCAGATGCCGTACACTTGAGTGGCAAAGGAAAGCGAGACCTTACCTTTTTTTCCAGGCCTGTTCGGACATACGGTTCCCGCGGAAGATCAAGTTGGTGAGCCGTGTGATGGGAAACCTTCCCGCACGGTTCGGAGAGCACTGAATTAGAATGAGAGGTTTACCACCACATCATTGCATGCAAGGGGAGCTCGCTCGATTCGCAGATTGGTCCGACTCGCGACCCCTACTCTAATCAAAAGACTAAAGGCCCCTACTGAAGATAGGTCGCCAAACTACGACCGAGAGTTTCGCCTGGGGTAAGGTCTGCGTACACACTACCCTCCCTAGACCCCACTAGTAGAATTTTACTGGGTCATTGTTGTTGTTGTTGTTGATCTCCTCTGTTTCGTCTTTCGGAAACGGCCTCTCTACTCCCTCGGGATAGGGGTAAGGTCTGCGTACACACCACCCTCCCTAGACCCCACTAGTAGAATTTTACTGGGTCATTGTTGTTGTTGTTGTTGATCTCCTCTGTTTCGTCCTTCAAGACTCCATTGACTTCCAATCTCCCAATGTAATTTTATTTCTTATTAACATTGGTCACCTTGTGAAAGAACTTCGTATTCTATCCCTTGCGTCAACCACACATTTCTCGATCTTTGTCTCCAAGCAATCTCTTCGTATTGGCAATTTCCTCTACTTCCATTTGTAAATTAGCCCGGACCAACAATTCTTACTCCTGAATATTATCATTTTGCAGTGCACTATCCAACTGCAACTTGTGCAAGAAGTTCGTTTTTTATATTTTCCAGACTTCCATAGTTGCTTTTGTTCCATTTCCTCAGCCTTCCTTTCAGAAGTTGTAATTTTTTTGGCGGTACATAATCTGGTGTTCCAGTTATCCCAAAGGAATTCCACCAAACATTATCCCTCAGCGCCCAACAACCATTTTTCAAACTTGAAATAGGATCAGCTCCCAACAACCTTTCCCAGTCACTGCATAGAAGTCGTATAGGAGCATGATCCTCGTTCCATTGAGTAATAAAAAGAAAACAAGTTTAGATATATTGAGATAAGGGCTGGTTATTTTAAGTAGTTGAGCATATTTCTAACTCGTACCAGTGTGAGGCTAGTCTGATAGGATATTGTCTTAGACGGTTAGTGGTCAATGTTGTGTTCACACTACTCTTCCGTTTTCATAGTATCAGGCCTTGTTTACTGGTTATTGTTTGCTTTCCATCTATTTACTGGTTCTTGTGATGTTATTATTTCTATGGTTTTTGTTGATGATACTGATATATTGTGTCTCTTTTCGTCTTCTTGAGCCGAGGGTCTATCGGAAACAGCTTCTCTACCCCTCAAGTTCTGCGTACACACTCCCCTCCCCAGACCTCACTTGTGGGGCTTTATTGGGTCGTTGTTGTTGTAGAGATAAGGGCTGGTGTGCCATTAGAAAAAACTTTTCACGCGCAAAAGGTGATGGCATCATGGTCCTCTCTATATCATATTCATTCATTTCATCTTCCATGACCCGAAATATTGTCTCAAAAGTTTCCTCCGGATCTTGAATAGCCTTCAACTTTACTTTCTTTAATCTCCTCCGTTGTCCCTTGCAAAGAAGGTGTTCTACCTTCTTTGGAGGACGTTTGACATCCATAAAAGTTTTGATCATACTATGATTGTGGGAGGCCAAGTTTCAAAGGGTTGTTTCTGAAATACGATTGTTTACCGATTAATGAAATGCCAGATAATGTTCAGACATTGTTATGTCTCTATATGTTTAATTCTGGCATTATCCTCAGATAGGAGTCTGTCTTTTCCATTTCACTTGCAATTTGGCGATAATTGTTTGAGTTATGGACTGAAAAGTTGCATTCTCCAGGTGTTATTGTTATTTCAGAGAATTGAAGGTGTAGAAGTGTGCCTCTTTGGCATGTATGTTCAGGAATTTGGATCTGAATGCCTACAGCCAAATCATCGCCGTGTTTATCTCTCGTATCTAGATTCTGTTAAATATTTCAGGCCAGAGATCAGAGCAGTGACTGGAGAGGCTCTCCGCACATTTGTGTACCATGAAATTTTGGTAATCTTTCTTCACATCAATTCCAATGTTGATTCTAGATATTTGTTGTATATTAATATATTTGATTTCACTCAGATTGGATATCTAGAATATTGCAAAAAGCGTGGTTTCACGAGTTGTTATATTTGGGCGTGTCCTCCATTGAAGGGTGAAGATTATATATTATATTGCCACCCCGAAATTCAGAAGACCCCAAAATCTGACAAACTCAGAGAGTGGTGAGCTTAATAATTTTTTCCATATAGATTACATATTGCTGTAATATGAATTTTTTTCCTCATTCTTGTTACATTGATTAAACTAGTGTTTCTCATATTTCAGGTATTTATCAATGCTAAGAAAAGCTAAGAAGGAAAATATAGTTGTTGATCTCACTAATTTATACGACCATTTCTTTATATCCACGGGAGAATGTAAGGCTAAAGTTACTGCAGCTCGTCTGCCTTATTTTGATGGGGACTACTGGCCTGGTGCTGCAGAGGATATGATTTATCAACTTCAGCAAGAAGAGGATGGGAGAAAGCAGCATAAGAAGGGAACTATAAAGAAGACCATAACAAAAAGAGCTCTAAAAGCATCTGGTCAATCTGACTTGTCTGGGAATGTATCTAAGGATCTGCTTCTAATGCACAAAGTAATTTTAATTGCTAAGCATCTTTGTTTACTCATTTGCCTTCTGCTTTCTATATATTGGCTATTTGGTTGATTGATTTGCTGTTATTATGGGAGTTGTGGCTTGCAACTCCCGAGCAATGAAACTATGATTAAGTATTACGCTTTAGAGTGAATTTGGCACTCGTTTCTGCATCCAAAGGTGTGCCTAATGGTTAATGAAGTAGGCGAAATTCATGGGATAGCAGGATTCAGAACCCAGCAGGGATAGAAAGCTAGGTGACCTTTTCCTATCTGCCTCTAAGCTTTGATGGACAGGAGTTACGCGGTGCCTGTGACAGTGGGAGGTAGCAGGCACCTGGTGGAATAGTCGAGTGTGCACACATGGTGGTCTGGATACCCCCTTTATCAGGAAAAAAAATTGTTGCACTTGTTTTTCATCTTAATGTGATGTTTTGTTTCTGTTTCGCTTTATTTTTATTCTTTGTTATGAAAGCTGAACTGCATCTGCACTTTTAACTCTGTCCACTTTTTTACTTGCCACAGCTCGGCGAGACAATTTCTCCAATGAAGGAGGATTTTATTATGGTTCATTTACAGCACGCATGCACCCATTGCTGCGTACTAATGGTATCTGGAAATCGTTGGGAGTGCAAGCAATGCAAGAACTTTCAGCTCTGTGACAAGTATGGATCTTATCTCTATATGCTTAGAGTTGTAAAAGTTCTCTGGTTGTTTATGCTCGTTGCAACCTTGAATGTGGATTCGTAAAAAGTTTTCTCAGTTGTAGATGATGTACTGTTTTGTTTTTTCTCCACGCACACGCCGAATAAATTTAAGTCTTTGTTTAATGCCAACTGCATCGTTGATTTGGTGAAAGGGATTTAAACCAGACACTAGTCTGCAATTACCAAGTGTTTCTTTATTAGTTTTAAGTATTTTATGCAATCTCAGAGCCAACCAGAGAGTTCATGTGAAGAAAGGTATTACGTCGTCTATACGAGGCTAGAAAAGACACTGTATAACGTTCAAAGCAGGAAGCAAAACATAAAGGAAGGCAGAGGCCTTAAATTTTTTAAAGCAACTAGCTTTTTCTGTCATTCCTCCATTACTCCAGAAATGGAGTTGTGTGCTGCACGTTTTTCAGTTTTAAGTTTGAACCCCGAGCGCAAATTTTCTGGAAATGTAGCTGTGCACTCCATTCCCAGATTCTATATGTTTTCTCATTTACGAGGCTTGAACTTCTACTGTCTGCAGTCAGTGGCGGACGCACGTGGTGGCAAGCGGGTTCAACTGAACCCGCTTCATCATAAAATAATACTGTGTATATGTATAAATTACTATTAAAGCTGTGTAAATTTTGTATAAATATTTTATTTGAACCCACTTGACAACTACTATTTTACGACTAAAGTTATGTACTTCTAAGATTGAACCCGCTTGCGCAAAATCCTGGGTCTGCCACTGTCTGCAGTACTACTCATTGAATGACACACCTCCACTTGCTCATCATTGGTGTGTTTCGCCAGTACAAGTGAGTTGGGAAATGTAGTGTTATTTGGTGGTGGTTGTGCCATTTTGCCTCTTTGTGGGCATGAATTAGATAGATCTCCTTCTCAACAATCCATCTTGCTGGCAGAGAAACAAAGACCCCCCTGGCGGGGTTGGGGAGTTGCTGTCTAGGTGGGAGATCTTCATGGAGCAATTTTTGGTTCCGGTGGGGAAACCTTATCCCCCCCCCCCCCCCCCAAAACCCCCCTTTCTTTTCCCTTTGTGGTGACTGGTGAAAGCTAGGTATCTCTAATATATTTATTGATTGAAGTGCCTAAAAAATTTGATGCTGTGAAGGTCGAGATTATAGTATAAAGTAGTCTGTTCAATAAGAGCATCTTTAAAGACCCAAATAATGAGAAAAGTATATCATGTGAAGAAGCTCAGTTTTTTGCTGCACCCTTCCCTGGGTAGGTTTAGCTCAAATGGGTCCCTAGTTTTTTCATTAATTTTTGTTTATAGCTGACAAAGAGATGACATATTGATAAATAAATTAATCTTAGGAATTTCTAGGAACGTAAAAAAAAAAAAGAAATGTTGCAGTTGCATTTTGTTTTTCCAAGTTTTTTTTTGGTGTATGAAAATTTTCACAAAAGAAACCATTTGAGGATATGATAGTTTCATATTCCTAGTGTTTTCCTTTGTAACATTTGGTCTGTATTGGTACTGTTTCAGGTGCTATGAAACTGAGCAAAGACTTGAAGATAGAGAAAGACATCCTATTAATCAAAAGGACAAGCACACACTTTATCCAGTAAGTACTTCTCTAAACCCCG